ACCCACTGCCTTGGATTCAAGCAAACAAATCCAGGCCATATCCGCACCCTCAAAACTAGTCACTGTCTCCCATCTTCGCAAGAGACTAGTATGTGTTTATAGGCACATGCGAGTTAGAAGCTAACCTTTTCAGCTATTCCGGAAGAAATACTAGCGAACTGATGATAGCAAGGGTTGGTAGCAAAAAGCAAAAATTTTCAAAAATCGAATTGTTTAACTAGGATGCGAGATGCGCTCAACAGCATCTACCGACTTTTCGAATCGAGCTGTGATTGGTAATGCTGGAACCAATCATTGACTACCTTGCGCACTGTGATACCAGAGATAATTGTTCGCGCTTTGATATCCGCACGATTTGTTTACCGATGTACAGAGTGAACAAACAGGAGGAGATATAATTTGAAACAACCGTATAAAGCATGGTGTTGTAATATGTATTTATTACAAAAAATTAGACAGATTTTCATTCGAAACTATTACTTTAGATGAAGCTCTAAGGAAAGTAGGAAGGACTCGGTCAGAATACCACGAAAAATTAGTTCAAAGCATGCATAATATCATACCAATCAATCTAATCCGATAAAATACTTCTGCCGAAGGCCCACTGAGGTGAAGCGAGAATGGAGAGCTAAGAATCTCTTCGCGGTCTCCGGTTTTGCGGTCATCTACTGCGGGACTAACCACGAATGTCTGAGTTGATTGAGCCAGCCGCGTTTCACTGAAGGGCGCTTTCTTCTCCAAGAGCACCGCCGTCGTCGCTTATTCGGACCCTACAAAGAGAAGAGGAAGAGTTTTGAAACCCTTATGGTAGCATCAGGATGGCATATGCCACCCTGATTTGAAAAAAAGTGAAACATGCCCTTCACTCACATAAACTTTTCATATTTCATACTTTGTTGCTTAGTCTCACGCGCATATACACACCAAATCACGTGCCATATCGTTATCTGTTATCATATTTCGTCAGTCAGATTTGAGTCATATTTCCACGATTCCGTAACTAAAGATATAAAAAAGTCACAACATTCCATCACATATTTTTCCACAAACTCTGCACTGCGCTTCTCATAGCCCCTGTCCATACTTTGGATTTCGGAGTCATACGGTTGTATGTGCGCTGTAGACGAAACATTTAACCCATTAACGACGATGTGGACCACCGGTGGCCTACGCGCTTTTTGCTGCCAGGGACGATGTGGACCCCCGGTGGCCCACACCTCTCGCAAAGTCGTATTATCTGCAGGTCTAGTATTTTTTCCATATATGAATATTTTTTCCAATTTTTTGTATTCTTGGGACCTATAGGCTCTGTCGTTCAAGAAAATGTTAATAGTTGTTTACAAAACCACGTTGCATTTCGTAAATAAGCACAAAACCTTCCCACACTGAAAGTGTTGTGCAATGTCGCGTCGTCCCACAGCGCCGCCGCGCAAAATTAGGCGTCGTCGTCAATGGGTTAATTAATGGATTGATGGAAAAATGACGCACAAAATCGCGTTTTTGCACATCTCAAGTAGTAAATTGTCTGAGGAGCGCGTATAACATATTTGTAAATGTGTATCTACCCCCTTCCGCTTCTTACCCCCAAAACGATTTTTAATTTAGCATCTGCCATCCTCGTGCCGAGCCATGATTTGAACCTGTTCCGCTAATCTGGACAGTCTACTTCCGGACTTTACGGCACACCCATTTTGAAGAGTAAAAGTGGCATGAGATTCAAAATTGAATTTTTGATTTCTCTGTAAAATTATCATGTAAAGTATGCTTTGCAAGGTTTTCGTCATGATCATGTGGCATATGTACAAATATATAATTCATAGTCCAGCATCGGCCGTTATTGATATAATATTCTCTCCCTCTCTCATTTGTTGACATAAGAAAAGAGGAACAAGGAAGTGTGGCAGTTTTTGCGACAGACAAACGTTTCATGCTTGTTGTTCGTTGCACTTACAGCCGACACTCAAAAACATAGAGGACGTTGTGTCCTATCTAGATAATTCATCGAATACGTACAAGGCAAAAAGGAAAGTCAAAGATCGAAGATCGAAGCGTAAGAGTCCGTCTGCGCCTTGTCGTGGCGTACAATGACTTCATTACCCTAGCCAACATTTCTTTGCATATGATAAAGCCCATGTGATAAACATGTGATAAACAATTGAACGTAAACGTTACCAAATCACACATTATTATTCATGACATATACCCGTTGCCAAAGGTTCTCAGGGTGCGATGTAATGTGATATTCATGAGCAGGGTTTCAAACATCCCCATCACGCAAATCAAAAAGCTTTCATACTTTGATATTTCAGTAGCTTCGTAGTCGTTTAAACAACGAAAATATCTGGTTGAGTCAAAGATCACGAGAACTTTACGCTCTCCACTTCAACATTCCCGCGATGATAGATTAGCGATAGACAACAAGGCTCGGCACGAGGTGGCTTTGTCATGTCTTGGAAATTCTTGAACTTTGCAGCATACACACGACATTTTGTAGACACGCCAATGAATAGATTGAACACGGAATTCAGTATTCATGCGGGAATATCGATGGGACAAGTTTTGCAAGCAAAAGGGCTGCCTAAACTTCTCGGGTTCATGATAGTGAAGTTCGGCCTTGGTTATGCTTGCCTTTTTATTTACTTTTCTTTTTTTATGTTTTCTTTTTTTGAACATATCGCTCTCAGAAAAGCGGAAGGGGAGTTCGTTGGGTTGGGAGAGGAAGGAGGGGGAGAGGAAACTGACTAAGGGCCGCATGCACTAAAATCCCCGCGGGGAGGGGATCGCAGCTTAAAAGAAAGCTTTATATTTCGAAACTCCAGATACCTGGATTTCACATTATGTACCTATCCGTAAGTATTCCTATTACCCTTCACTATGAACATGTTGAACAGAAGCGAGAAGCTGTACAAACCGCATTTTCCAGCTTTTGTATGATCCCTGATGATCCGTGCGCTTTTCTTCAAAGTCATTTTTCTTTCTCCGAAGTCAACGAAGAATCTCCACAGTTGTGCAGATTGTCTAACCCGACAGTGCTAAGCATGTTGCTGCTAAGAACGAATGATGTTATGAAGTCATGAAATTTGCGATGATCCACAGGTCGAAATTTGAGGCTTACCGAAAAATTCGACTTTTCAAAAACTCATTTGTTCTCATCAACAGCATGCTTAGCAGTATTGTGTTAGATGTTCAGTACAACTTTGGAAGGTTTTCTTTAACTTCGGAGAAAGAAAAATGACTTTAAAGAAAAGCGCCGGGGATCATCAGGGATCATACAAAAGCTGGAAAATGCGGTTTGTACAGCTTCTCGCTCCTGTTCAACATGTTCATAGTGAAGGGTAGTAGGAATACTTACGGATAGGTACACAATGTGAAATCCAGGTATCTGGAGTTTCGAAATATAAAGCTTTCTTCCAAAGCTGCGATCCCCTCCCCGCAAGGATATTAGTGCATGCGAGGAGGGGATCGCAGCTTAAAAGAAAGCTTTATATTTCGAAACTCCAGAAACCTGGATTTCACATTGTGTACCTATCCGTAAGTATTCCTACTACCCTTCACTATAAACATGTTGAACAGGAGCGAGAAGTGTACAAACCGCATTTTCCAGCTTTTGTATGATCCCTGACGATCCCCGGCGTTTTTCTTCAAAGTCATTTTTCTTTCTCCGAAGTTAACGAAAAACCTCCAAAGTTGTGCAGATTATCTGAACCGACAGTGCTAAGGATGTTGCTTATAACAACAAATGATGTTTTGAAGCCATGAAATTTTCGATGATCCACAGCACAGGTCGGAATTTGATTTGTACCGAAAAATTCGATTTTTCAAAAATTCATTTGTTCTCATCAGCAACGTGCTTAGCACTGTTGTGTTAGATTTTCAGTATAACTTTGGAAGGTTTTCGTTAACTTTGAAGAAAGAAAAATGACTTTGAAGAATAGATGTTCGTCCCCCAGGGATCCTACAAAAAGCTGGGAAATGCGGCTTGTACAGCTTCTCGCTTCTGCTCGATATGTTCTTAGTGAAGGACGGTGGGAGTACTTACGGACAGGTAGACAGCGTGAAATCCAGATATCCGGAGCTTCAGGATATGAAGCTTTCTTCTGAAGCTGCGATCCCCTCCCCAGCGGAAATGTTAGTGCATGCGGCCCTAAGGGAGCTGGAGGAGAGGAGACAAATGCTGTTGGAGACCAGAACGATCCGACCATGAAGCAGAACGCTTCGGCGCATGATGCGGAAAGCATTTATGATTATTTCAAGATTTTTGTGATAATTGTGTTGAGATATTCATCCTTACATTTTCTATCATGGGGTGAGTGACAGCGCAAACGAAGAAACAAGTGACAAGTAGAGAAAACGGGGGAAGGGGGGGGGGGATGGAAATTGTTAAGAAGCGGCTATGTTTCAAAATCTCCCGAGTTCCAGCTGTTGCCGAACCAATTGCTCACTTGTTTAGTCATTTATTCAGTACTTTCAAGGTGCAAAAAACACAATAAACACAGAAACACAATTCTAGCTAAACAACAATCTTGATATGTCAAAGTTTAACATCAGCATGGATTCAGCCGATAGTGACATCCGTTTGAAGAGGTCAATGCAAAGTAAATGATAAATATGCTCCTCTATGTTATAGAGGAGCATCCTGGCTAGTATGAACAAATGAGGATGCGGACGTTTTTTGAGGGACCACTGCTCAAGCAACAATTAGAAGAGGTACGGAGCTTGCTGCCGCCCTGAATCAATGTGGGAAAACGCTGCAAACTCTTTTATGCACCATGTGTATCCTACCAGTCCGAAGGTTAGATATAAAACCTATGCTTTCAAGTAGGTTCAATTCAATTCAATTCAATCCAATCAAATCCCTGAAAGAGGGCAAAGATTTTCCGCAACTGCAATGTTTACACTACTGTAGCATCTCGCAATATGGTTCCATTTTTTGTCGAGAGATAAATGATAATACACGATATAGCTTTTCTCTGCCCAGCAGCTGGAAATATGTACACAAAATGAGCATAAAAGTGCAGCGGCGAAAGAAAAATTTGAAAATGGAGCTATTACTAATGGTAGTGGTAGGTTCACTTGCATTTCGTCCACTCTTTCTATTCTCAAGCTTTTATAGACTCATCTACTCCTTCTTTTTAGTAGTAAAACGTACACGAATGCCGAAGATACAGGTAAGTAACTCTTCTCTTTCAAATAAATCGAAGTGGCTAATGTTCCTTCTAATAATCTAAAGAGATCTTGAGTAAACCTAGAAAAATCACTGAGAATCTGAGATGCTAATATACATGTACATCGAGGACCCATTAAAACTTATCCTCTTCTCAAGCGGAAGTGCCGAGGCATTCTTCAGCAAATCGGCAGAATGTCGTCTCCGGAGTAGACCCATCTCCAGCTACTGCTATAGAAGCAGCATGTAATGTGTGCGGAACAGCTGCCTAGTACGTCCTCCGCGTGTAAGTAGTTGGCAAACTGTAAGCCCGTTCTATAACGGTTCATTGCAACGTCATAGCTTGCGGTCTAGTAAACCCTTGAGAGTAACCTTGAGAGTCACAGCTGCGCTTGCTGATAATTTGTCGGGTCTCCGCGAATCACTCACGGCAACTGTGCGATTCTCTTTGCTTTTTTGTGGATAACGATATCTAGATTGTGAGAATGCTACTCTGCTGAGCCCGCTCTCCAAATCTGCCTCATTTTCTACTATAGTTTCTATTAGCGCCAGAAAATTTAGCGTTTTTGGAAAAGAAACGTTGATTTATCTGGTTGTCGTGTATTACTCTTTTTTTTATCCTTGCATCTTTCCCTATACGGGGTCTGCTACTCTTGTTAGTCTCCTCCAGGCTTCACGATCTACGACTTGTTCTTCGTCTATCTCAAGTTCTCTCAAGTCTGCTTTGATTCGATCTGTCCAACGCATCTTCGGTCTACCTCTTGGTCTTCTTCCAGGAACCTCTACTTTCATCGCTGATCTGGTGATGTGGTCTTCGTCTCGTCTTCTCACATGCCCGTACCATCTAAGCCGCTTTTCTTGCATCTTCTTGGTTATCGGGGCAACTTTCATCGTTGTTCGTATGGTTTCGTTCGTGACATGGTCAAGCATTGTGATACCCATCGTCCACCTTAGCATACGCATTTCCATCACACCAAGCTTCCGTTCTTCCTTACGCGTGCACGGCCAACACTCACTTCCGTATAGAGCAGTGGGGCGTACAACAGTGCGGTACATCTGTGACTTCAACTTGAGCGGCATCCGTTTGTCGCACAGAATCCCAGTAAGGCTTCTCCATTTCAACCAAGCTGCGCTTATCCGGCTGGTAATCTCATCTTGAAGCGTACCGTCTGCCGAGATGTGACTGCCCAGATATTTGAAGGACGTTGTCTTCTTTGTTGCTGTACTTGCGATCTGAATCGTTTCCGGCGTTTGGGGTCCCAGCTCCATGTATTCTGTCTTCGTGGTATTGATCTTCAGACCGTGTAGCTCGAGTTGTCTCTTCCACATCTGTACATCTTTCTCTAATTCTTTTCTGGTTCTTGCCATCAGAATCACGTCATCTGCGTACATTACGGTCCAAGGAGGTTGGCGTATGAAGCTTCTGACGATCGTGTCCAGTACAGTGATGAAGAGTAGGGGCGAGAGTACGGATCCTTGATGCACCCCAACGCTTATCTGGAAGTCATCTGAGCGTCCTGCTGCTGTTCGTACATGGCTGGTGGCACCCTTGTATATCATTTTGATCCATTGGACGTATTCTTCAGGTACTTCGTGCTTCCGCAGTGCCCACCATATTACGTCGTGCGGTACTTTATCGAAAGCCTTCTCCAGGTCAAGGAATGCCGCGTGTAGCTCACATTGCTTTTCTCGGCTTCTTTCCATCATCATTCGGACGGTATGTATGGCGTCTATTGTACTGCAACCCTTTACGAATCCGCACTGGTTGGGGGCCAACTCCACGATACTTCGAAGCCTCGTTTCCAGTATTCTCTCGAAGATTTTCATCGTATGGCACATGAGTCGGATCGGTCGGTATGTGGAGCAGTCAGCTATGTCGCCTTTATTCTTCCATATCGGTATGGTTGTGCTCTTGTACCAGTCATTTGGTATATTCTTGGATTCGATTATCTGGTTTAGAAGACGTGTTAACCATGAAGCTCCCGCCTGTCCGCACTCCTTCCAGAACTCGTTGGCGATGTCGTCTGGACCTGTGGCCTTGCCATTCTTTGTGTTCGTTATGGCGATGCGAACTTCTTCTTCCGTGATAGCCGGTACTGGTCCACTTACGGGTTCCGCCTTTATCGTGGATGTGTATTCGTAACCAGCGGATGCAATCTCTGCGAAATGTGCTCTCCATCTTTCATTGATCTCCTGCGGCTTCCTCAGAATTCTTCCATGCACGTCCTTGATACAGTAGAAGTGCTCAACATCTTTTGAGGCGTTTCTTCTTGTCTTCGCAATTCGGTATATGTCTCGCTCGCCTTCACGGGTGTGCAGCTTCCTGTAGAGTCCTTCTATATATGCTTCCTTCGCTTGCTTGACGCTTCTTTTAGCCGTTCTTTTTGCTTCTAGATACTTCTGGTGAGCACCTTCTGCTTTTGTTTGCTGACATATTCTGTACGCTTTCTTCTTACTTGTTATCTCAGCCTGCACTGTCTCATTCCACCACCAAGTTTCCTTGTCCAGCTTTCGCCTTCCGGGTTTCGTGCGCCCCAGTAGTTCGCCTGCTATTTGATGCACGTTGCTCTTCAGAATCGTCCAGGAGTGATCTGGATTGTCTTCTAGTTTCGGTAGGGCAGATTCCATTGCTCTTCTGATGCTGGCGTCGCTCTTGAGTTTCCACCATTTGATACGAGCATCATGCTCTGTCGTCGCCCTTTTTCTCCTGTTGATTGGGATGCTCAGATCCAGTAGCAGTGGCTTGTGCTGGGGGATACAGTCTTCACCTGGGATGACCTTGCTATCTTTTACGTATTTGAGCTCGTTTTGTCGCACAGTCCAGAAGTCTATTTGCGACTTGCGGTCTCCACTTGTATACGTGACGAGGTGATTTATCTTCTTGATGAAGTAGGTATTCGCTAATGCCAACTCGTGAGCCGTAGCGAACTCCAGAATACGTTCTCCTTCGTCATTCTGTATTCCGTAGCCGTGGTTTCCATGACATTTCTGTGAACCAATTCGGTGCTCTCCTACATGTCCGTTTAGATCTGCTCCGATTAGTAGCACTTCTTCTTGTGGTACAGAGGAGATGTAGTCGTCGAACTGCTGCCAGAACTCCTCCTTCTCTGCTTCTAAGCAACCTGCTTGAGGTGCGTAAGCTGTGACTACTCGAAGCGTTTTCCCAACATCCAATCTTATGCCCATGAGACGGTCGCTTATTCGATCTACATCAATGATTTGATTTCTCAGTGCTTCCGATACGACGATGCCGACACCGTTCCTGCGATTACTTGTTCCTTTGTATAGAAGCTTGAATCCATCGCCTATATCACGGGACTTCTCACCTTTCCACTTGGTTTCCTGAAGGCAGGCGATGTCTACTCTACGTCTTCTGAGAAGATCTGCGAGTTCTCGATGTCGTGCCGTGAGGGATCCTACGTTGATGGTAGCTAGTCGAAGCGTAGAGAACTTGGATCGTTGCTTATATTTATGATGAGCTAGCTTGTTTAGCCGTCTCTGCTCATCCTGTTGAGACGGCAGCCCTCGCTTACTATTCGCACTCGTCGGGCTCCGATGCGCGTCGCTTCCGGGGGACGCCCTAGCTGTTACTCGAAATTCCTGATGAGACATAAAAGACATGTTGATGCGACGGTGTTTGTTCTTCAGCCGGCTTGTCGCGTGCTTCCTTCTTGGTCAAGCAGCCTGACGCTGGATTCGTGGGGCAAGAGTTTGCCAAAGAAGTTAGGCCCTCAGCGGAACCGAACCCGTGACCTTCCTCGCCGTAGTCAAGGGCACTAACCTCTCGGCCACTCTGCCCCTCGTGTATTACTCTTATTTGCGTTATTCCTCCTTTCCATTTGAGAAAACATAGCTATATCAATGACTGCGCGAAACCCTTTCTTAGTCTGTATTCAATGCAAAGTCTCTCGTACGCGGAGAAAAATGATGTAGGGATTTTCAAGTTACCGCAGCTAGTTCCATACATTTTGGCAAGATTCTAAAATTTTCAGCAAGCTACCCAAACTACAACGAAAAAAGGCGTGACCACCCAAACTTCTGAGAAATTTTTCTCGAAAGGTAATACAGATCTCACAGTGTTTGTAGGAAAGTAGCATTCCAAGCGAGGAAGACGGATGGGGTGACAGAAAACACTTTGAAAGAAGAAGGATGCAACTATTATCAGCAAATCCTAAATTGGCGTTGAGGAATATTATGCATTTCCCCCACGTAGAAGTTATGCACTCGCGATATGAAGGCTTTGCATGCGTTCCTATAGTCTGTTCAAATGTATGTAGGCTAAAACATTTCATATGGGAGCGAAGCATCCGATGCATCTCTGCGAGCACACAGCGCTGGCGTCCAGGCGAGAAATCGAAGTACCCTAAAATCCGTACAATAAGTCCGTCTATCAGATAAGTCCACCCATCAGATAAGTCCGCAGCAAACCTAGCAGATAAGTCCGCTTTCTTGACAACAAAATTCGCCCTCGCGCCGCCAAGAGTCCTGCAGATAAGTCCGCTTTCTCATGCTCAGGATAGGCGCACTTATCTTGCGGACTTATCAAATTTAGGAGGATTTAGGAGGACTTGTCTGCAAGACTTTTGGCGGCGCAGAGGCGGACTGACCGACCGGCGCATTTTCCATAGATTTTTCGTGTCAAAACTGCAGATAAGTCCGGACTTATTGTACGGATTTTAGAGTACCCTAAAATCCGGGATATAAGTCCTCCTATCAGATAAGTTCATCCATCAGATAAGTCCGCTTTTTTTGAGAAGAAAGATCGATGAAAATGCACCCTTGCGCCGCCAAGAGTCCTGCAGATATGTCCGGACTTATATGCCGGATTTTAGAGTAATCTAAGCGAAAGCAGACATGGATTCTCAGTATGATATATTACATTATTACATTGGTATTATTATATTACATTGGCACAAGATTTCGTACGCATTACTTTCAAAAATTCATAACTTCTTGCTTTCTACTTCGATGTAAGGGGAGTCATGCTCTACATGTGCACAACAG